GTATAACAGATACACAAACATTATACTTTGGCTGGGTACAAGAATTTTAAGTATGATTATCATACATATCCTTTATATAATACAGAAATAATTACCACGTCATCTTTGGGGTTTATGATATCTCTTTACAAATGTTAAGACAGCAATACCACGTGCGGTGAAATACATTTAATCATGTCACGAATTTGTTTTTGTAAAGACATTGTCTTCTGTTAAAGTAAACATAAGGCTCAGTGTTGAAGACCGTACTTTGACCTATAATGGTTTACTTTTATAAATGTTGACTTTGATGGAGAGTTGTCTCATTCATGTCATTGGCACTCATACCACATCTTCTTATATCTATATAAGAATAACTATTAATTTTTTTCTTCAAATTAAAAGTTAATTAGAGTGTACGATTATTTACAACATAATTATAGGTTTATTTTTTGTATCTTTACACACTATTTTTTTTTCATTTGAAGTAAATACTGTCTTTTTTATGAAGCTAGACAATTTGATATTTGAATTTTTTCTAAATCATTTAGTTACGGAAATATATATTTCATTCATAATACCTTTAGTCTACCATGCATTGGTTATTCCATGCTCATTGTCTTTAAGTCTAAGTTTAAGAAAATATATTATGACCAATTTTAAATGTTGATACCTGTAATATTTGTGGTGTACAGTTAACCATAAATGTAGTCTACGGTCTTATTGCAATACCTTGTCTATTTCATGTATGTTTATAAACTTAAGCATGTGCATAATTACATATATAATACTTATTTTGGCGCAGAATTAACATTGTAAAGAACTTGAACTCGAACTATGTTATAAGAACTGATATCACGAACACTCATATTTCTATAGTCCCGCCTACTTTGGTCACATATTATGCTGATTTCAAGTATGTGATGATTTCAAAGTCATATGAAACTGTAAATCTAAAAAAAAAAAAGTTGAATACGTTTCATATACTTGAATGGCTTTGGAAAGTTTTATTACAAAAGAAGTAAACGAAAATCCTTTACATTATCAAAATCTTCATAAATGTACCGATAATGAATTATTCACTATCCAGACACTGAATCACCGATATTTTACGGTAAGCAGTGACCTTAACTACGAAACCTCTCGTGATAACCTCGGAAACTGCACAGCGCAAGTGCGGGGAGAAAATGTGATGAAGGAATGTAAACAAACGTGGTCATGAAGGTAAAGAGTAATAAAGGTTCTTAAAGAACAAATTTAATACAACAAATCATTTAACACCTGTTAAGGAAAAGTTTAATTAACAAATAGGAACGCATGGAAAATATTAAAAAAAAACAAGTGTCATGCGTCTTTAAATTCACTTATCTGTCACGTTTCCATGTGCTCTGTTTTTATTATCTATCAGTGTCATGTTCCGGTAAACATCGGCAACAACCACGAAAATTAATTAGCTTGCGACCAACCACCACTGAATGAAACATGTTCTGTCGATAATACAATATGTGTGTAATGAATCTATAGTATACATGCATTCATTGGTTCAATAATTTCGATAACATCGAAAACATTAAAACAATCAAGGAATTCGTTTCATATGACGGTAAGTATAAAGTAAAATAACAAAAATACCGAAGTTCGTTATCAAATGGCAAAATCAAAAGCTCAAACACATCAAACGAATGGAAACTACTGTCATATTCCTAATTGTGTACAGGCATTTTCTTTTGTGAAATATGGGGAATTTAACCTGGTTTTATAGCTAGCTAAACATCTCACCTGTATGTGAGTCTTGTATGATGAGTTACAGATAGAGTTTACGTTTGGTTCGGCACCGCTGATTTTTGCCGAAATTACAGGTTTTTGACTTTCAAATTTTGCATTTGAAAAATGACTTCAATTATATTTTGCCAGATCGTTTCGACACATTTATTTATATCTGCATTCATCTGCTTCAACAATATAATGAAATGTTTGCTATTCGGACTAATATTTTAAGTTATTCTAAAAAGTACGTAAAAAAGTCTGTATACAATCTGTACACTTTGAAAAAAATTAAAACAACACATTAAATAATTTCATGCGTCCTAAGCTTTTTTCTGGATTTACTTTCATCGGGAACGTTCAAAGCCGAATATATGAAAGCCGAGAGTAACTTTAATCTCTTTAACTATTTGTTATGGTAAATTAATCAATAATTAAGTAGTTTTCGCACGACTTAACTATAGTCAAACAAACAATATTCATTGTTGGAGACTAAAATATGAAGTCTGACACTTCTCTGTGGCTTACCACACAGAATGTGTAAGGGAATGAAATTTCGGAGGTAACATTTCTCATCGATTTAAGATACACTGGAAACAAACTATATACATATGTATTTCTAATTTTAGGATCGTTCTTGACCATCACTGAAGAGACATTGATTATTGGAATTCTTATCTAGTGTAGCAAAACAATGTACCGTTTATTTTTTACTTCCACTAGGTTGATACCTTTGCAGGTGGACTCGTAGTCCCAGAGAGGGTTTCATCAGCAAAGCCTTTGATATTGGCATGAAAATACGGATATTATTTGATTGAAGGTTGATGTTATAAAACTTTGGAAATTATTGTAAATTAAGGTATATATCATCATGCAAAGATCTGATTTCCTGTCCAGATTTGGCTATACTTCAGGTCTTTTTAGTTTTAATCAGCTCTTCAACGTTTGTATAAGATTTTGGATTTTCTTTTATTTTGTCCTCGGTCTTCACTGTAGGACCACAGCCAAATCAGCCATCACCTCTGACTGGCATCATAATTTTATATAAATCGTTGTCAATTAAGGATGTACACCTGAGGAGTCAAACATTTCTAGAATTAAACTTTTTTTCTTTAACTTGTTTTTTGGGTTTATCTGACTGTAAGAAAATAATTGATGAAGAAAAATCATATGGTGGTGAAAGTACCCCATTTTTATGATTTTTCCATTATTCATCAATTTTTACCCATTTTTGGGCTATTATCATGAAAAAAATCACTGTTTCACATTAAACTTTTTTCATACTTTCACTAAAGATGAAGTGAACAAGTCTGAATCAATTTTACTTTAAAAAAAAATAGGTAGGTGTTAATATAAGAAAGTTTCATAAAATTGTGTTGCTTTTTCGAGTCAAATTGACCAAGCTGTAAATTTTGTAAATTGGAGATTTTCTCTTTTTTTACAACAAAAATCATATTATATCAACTTCTTTGTTATGAAAGATTGAAAAAAAAACATATCTAAGAATTTTGAAAAGAAAAAATTGATATGGGATGTACATATTTTTGTTAAAATCATATTTTTGTGCACTTCACCCATTTTCTCAACATTTTGACTGATGACACTGACTGGATTGTTTTGTTCACGCATCGTTGTAAATATAACGGAATTTGATGAGACTGTCGTACAAGTGAGAGGTTTAGCGCTATAAAACCAGGTTCAATCCACCATTTTCTAGATTTGGAAATGCCTGTACCAAGTCAGGTATATGACAGTTGTTGTCCATTCGTTTGATGTGTTTTGTCATTTGATTTGCCATGTGATTAGGGACTTTCCGATTGAATTTTCCTCGGAGTTCAGTATTTTTGTGATTTTACTTTTTGCTTATAAAAATTGAAAATTTTATTACTCAAAAACTACTTATTGTAAGTACACAATTTTTTCACATAGTTTAGTTTGATTATAATGTTTTATGAATTCATTGATATTTTCCACTGGTATCACATTTGTTGAAAATAATTCCCGAACGAGATTTCAACGAGACTGAAACGTCAGAAAAATATATCCTTAAGGTGGATCTCCCTCATGCTAAGCTCTAATTTGTGGTACAGATTTTGTTAAAAAGTAAAATCACAAAAATACTGAACTCCGAGGAAAATTCAAAAAGGAAAGTCCCCAATCAAATGGCAAAATCAAAACAACAAACACATCAAACGAATGGATAACAACTGTCATATTCCTGACTTGGTACAGGCATTTTCTTATGTAGAAAATGGTGGATTGAACCTGGTTTTATAGCTAGCTAAACCTCTCACTTGTATGACAGTCAGTTAAGGTCCTTTTTAGCATGATCAGATCTTCAACGTTTGTACTAGATTTTGATTTTTAAATATTTTGACCTCGAGCATCACTGAAAAGACATTAATTGTTGAAATGTGTATCTGGTGCAGTAACATTGGTACCGTTAATGTTATTGTTACATTATAAAGTTCAATTCCAAGCAAACTTGAGGTTTAGCTCAATAACATACTACTGTGGATTCATTTTTTCGTGGATACCAATGTTCGTGGATTGAGGAAAACTTACTTTTTCGTGGATATTTGATTTCGTTGGTTAGCCAAAGTCTGGATACAAGCCTTTAGAAAATATATATATGTATACCCACGAAATCCACGAAAATTGGTATCCAACGAATAATAAAGAATCCACAGTATATATATTTTTTATTCAAAGCGATTTTGAGTTTTAGCTTTCAAAATGTTGTTAAGTCAGTGCAATTCCAATAAAGCTTATACAAAGCTGTTAAAATATGTATGAGTGTTATTCGTTATCATTAACATAATTACTAGGTATCGGTTTTGATTTCCCCCTGAATTGCGATGGATCCCAAAATTTGCAACAAAAGAAATGTTCAAATGCAAATGAATGCTACTTGATAAATAAAAGAATAAAAGGCAAATGTTATTTTCATTTAAAACGTTCCTTATCACGAAACTACAATCACCAATCATGACAATGTATTAGAGGATCATATATGTTTACCTAAATAAATACATGTACAAATCCATATGTATATTTTCCCCTACTTTTTTGGGGTGAAGGTGTCTTCATTTTGGATATATTCATTTATAAAATTACAGATTATTCTTTGTTCCGTTTGATTTGTTCTTCAAAACGTGATCAACCTTAAACAGAGTGTTATCGGTCCATTGCCTTTTTCTAAAGTCAAGCTTCTAATGTTACTGAATATTTGATTATAAATTTCTTTTTAAAAGGCAAGTCATTCATTCAAACGACATTTTGTTTAATGGAAGGATTTTTGAAGTTATGGGTAAGTAAGCAATTAAGAATTGATGTACCTTAAAATATAATATAAATACAAAATAAATTTATGAGTATAGTTTTAGAAATTTGACAGGAATCTTAGGTAAATGAATTTAGGCTGGGATATATTCTTAAATCAGTACTGTTTTACAAATTGGGTCTAACACGATGGACATAAAGAAGACAACAAGAAATGGTATAAGATTCCGTTTCCAACCATCATTAAAATAGTGTCCGTTGAGTTAAATTTATATTTTCTTCTTATTATATCATAGGAAAATCTTGAAGGCAGTAAAATAGGCTAGTCAATAGAACAAACAAAAAAGGATCATAACTTCTTCTTGCAAGTTTATAAGCATAAAAATAAACCCCCAAAATAAGGCACAAGTACAATGGATTTAATAACATTCCTTACGTCAGAAACTCGTTATAACATAATGCAATGATATTTTACATCATATATACCATACACAAGTGTCACATTTTGAGCAGGTTCTTCAACCATTTTAAAGCACCTAAGATCAACTCCGGTATTATTTAAGCTTTTCGTTTTCTATACAGCACTTTGTGGTCTGTTGTTTGTCTTTTCCGGTTTTCTTGCGTCTTTTTGTTTTACTTCGACTTTTAGAAGAGGACCTGAGATCATGCCCGGTTTTTTTTGGTGGGGTTCGTGTTGATCAGTCTTTAGTTTTCTATGTTTTGTTTTGTGTACAGTTGTTTTTCTTCTCGTCTTTTCCTTTTTTGCCATAGCGTTGTCAGTTTAATTTTCGACTTTAGTGTTTGAATGTCCCTTTGGATTCTTTCGCCTCTCTTTTTGTATCTGTTTAGGGAAAACAGGTGTTTGCGAATAAGTAGTAAAATCAATTTTTATCTCGACATGGGGTTAAATCTCTTCACCAGGTACAATGGCTTAGTTATATAGATCGATTTTAAGGAACGGTGAAGAAAGAACGGTGTTCGTCATCTGCTTTTTTACGTCTTTTTTTTAAACATTCTCTTAATTATTTTCAAATTATAAAAACAGATATATATATTTTCAATAACTTAACAGTAACTACAAACGAAAATAATACTTGCTACAAACATATAGAAGCATTACTTTTAGAGAACCCCACCCTACAACCAGTACATTCATCCATAATGATATTCTTACCTAATCTTGAATTCTATCCTAATTCTATCCTATTTTGGGGAAATTTTTAGAAATTCAAATGTGACGTCACTTTGTGCATTGATCTCTTTGGCTAACTCGGCTGTGATTTTTATGTGCTGGTTTATGTTGTTTTATGTATCCGTTTTTATTCTGTAGTTAGTCACCACTTCGGTGTTATTATATGGTCATTTTTTTTTATAAATTTCCTGTTACAAAACTTTGAATTTTTCGGAAAACTTAGGATTTTCAAATCCCAGGAATAGATTACCTTAGCCGTATTTGGCACAACTTTTTGGAATTTTGGGTCCTCAATGCTCTTCAAATTTGTACTTGTTTGGCTTTATAACTATTTTGATCTGAGCGTCACTGATGAGTGTTGTGTAGACGAAACGCGCGTCTGGCGTATTAAATTATAATCCTGGTACCTTTGATAAGTAGTATCATGTATATCTATTATATAGTCATTTTTATATATTTACTGTTTGCAAAAGGTATGAATTATTCTAAATACTAAGGATGTTCTTATCCCAGACAGAAAACCTTAGCCGTATTTGGCACAACTTTTTGGAACGTTTGGTCCTCAATGCTCTTCAACTTTGTACTTGTTTTGGCTTTCGAACTTTTTGGTAAGTCTTGTGTGGACGAAACGCGCGTCTTGCGTATTAAATTTTAAACCTGGTACCTTTTGTTAGCTATTATTCGTATGTTTCTCTGTCCTATATGTTCTCCCATTTATTTGTATTGTAGTCCTGTCATGTAATGTTGTCATTTTAATGTTATATTTAACATTGCCATAAAAGCGTGAGGTTTGGCTAGCCACAAAACTAGGTTCAACCCACAATTTTTTTCTTAAAATGTCTTGTACCAAGTCAGGAAAATGGCCATTGTTATATGATAGTTCGTTTCTGTGTGTGTTACATTTTAATGTTGTGTTTCTGTTGTGTCGTAGTTCTCCTCTTATATTTAATGTGTTTCCCTCAGCTTAAGTTTGTAACCCGGATTTGTTTTTTTTCTCAATCGATTTATGAAATTCGAACAGCGGTAAACTACTGTTGCCTTTATTTACCGTAGAGGGACCTGATTTTGACTCTTTATATTTATATAAATATATACATATAGGAATATATGAACAAAAATTCTTATATATATAGGTAAAGATAATTACAGTGTTAAAATTAAACGCTTTGTGTTCAATGAATTTTAAGACTTTTGTGTGATCACATTTTCAGAAGAGAGTGATAGACAGATGAATGACGATTATTTGGGGGGAGGGCAACAAAAACGAATGTTATGCTCTAATCCATAAATTAAAACGAAAATACATTATTTACAAAATAAACTCAACCCATGGGATCAGTTACTGTCTGCCTAGGCCGCTTCAGGTAACAAACACAAAAACCAATCTACAAGAATAAAAACAATTTTCATTATGTACGCAAATACACATTATGAATCAAATTAAAGATTCAATTCTTACACATATTAATATTCATAGAAATCAAAAATAACACGAGAAAAATACATTTTGTCGAGTGAGAAGGTAGGAAACTGTACTGCACCAAAAACGAACCTCAAATGACAATATCTTAAATTCACACAACCGCCAAAAATATAACACGAAATATTTGAATTGACCTTATTAAAATATCATGGTCAGTTCTAACTCAACCGATGAAAAACATTTAACATATAATATACATTCAACATGTGTATCAATTATAAACAAATAAACGTGGTACTAGAGTGGCGAAAGATACCAAAGGGACATTCAAACTCATAAGTCGAATATAAACTGACAACGCCATGGCTAAAAAAGAAAAACACCAACAGACAAACAATAGTACACAAAACATAACATAGAAAACAAAGACTGAGCAACACGAACCCCACCAAAAACTGGGGGTGATCTCAGGTACCCCGGAAGGGTAAGCAGATCCTGCACCACATGTGGCACCCGTCTTGTTGCTCATGTGAGTATAAACCCGGTAATAAGTCTTTGGCCTCCATAAAACTTACGAAGGGATGATTTCAAATTTACCACTTGGAACTCTTGGTTTAATAGCTTCCTTATGAGCAGCAACACTCTATCAAGGAAATCATGATAGCAAATACAAGCCCTGGAATATCGCATTAACTGGGAGATATATACTCCGTATGCAGACGCTACTGGAATGTTGCTACATAGAAATGGAAAGTTCATAATTGGGTAGCTGAAATCATCTCTTTTTTCGTAAAGTTTTGTTTTCAACCGACCCTCATTGTCAATTTCTACATGTAAGTCAAGATATGAGGCAGACTTGACATATCTGTTGTACCCTTTGTCTCAAGTTCAATGGGATAGATGCGTTCAACATTGTCACCAAATTTTGAATTATTTAGTGAGAGAACATCATCTTTATAGCGGAAAGTAAAGTTAAAGGATACTGCTAACTTCTTTTCTTTCTTCCTTAGAAGTTCCTGTATGAAGTCAGCCTCATATGAATAAAGGAGTAAGTCGGCAAGAAAGTAAGTTTTACATACCGGTGTACGTAACTTTAATAAATATATTTATAGGTTTAGACTATGTAATTTGAACACTAATGTAGTCAGCATTAATAAAAATGCATTATACGAATGATATATTGTCATTCGACTACTTAAGATCAAGATCAAGATAAGTTAACAAATTCTCATGAATACCACAAAGAAAAATGTTATATATAGTAACTTTAAACTATTAAAATACTTTTCTGTAATACTATAAATAATGATTTAGTGATTTTGACACTATACAAGTATAATTTTACAAAAATATCACATTATAGTTGGGAACTACAAAATTAAGTATGACATTAATCTGTCACATACCACAAAGCAAATTATGAGGATTTGAAATTTCTGAGGGTAAAGGTCTCATTAGTGAAAGATAAACCTGATACGACTAAACCACATCTTTATACCCAGTATTAGTATCATTTTATTTGGACGAATTTAAAGAAAGCTATGAATAACACATTTGATTAATATACTATTTACAACATAATAATACGTTCATTTTATTTCATAGATTATCTTTTCAAACTACTTTTTTCATTTGAAACAAATAATGGATTTTATTTTTTTTTAGATGAAGCTAGACAATTTGATATTTGGCTTTATCCAAATCTTTTAATTACAGAAATAGATATTTCATTTATAATACTTTAGTCTACGATGTAATGGTTATTCCGTGTTTATTGTCTTTAAGTTAGGAAAATATATTATGACAAATTTTAAAAGTTGATACCTGGAATATTTGTTGTGTACAGTTGACCATAAATGTAGTTTACGTTATTATTGCAATACTTTGTTTATTCCCTGTGTGTTTATAAACTTAAGCATGTGTATAATTACATATTTAATACTTATTTTGGCGAAGAATTAACATTGCAAAGCAATTGAACTATGTTATAAGAGCTGATATCCCGAACACTCACATTTCTATGGCACCGCCGACTTAGGTCACATATTGAGCTTATTTTAAGAATGCGATGATTTGAAAGTCATATGAAACTTCAAATTAAAAAAAAAAGAAGAAAATATGTTATATACTTGAACGGCTAAGTTAAACTCATTTTTAAAAAAAAGAAAATCCTTTACATTATCAAAATCTTCATAATTGTACCGATAATGAATTATTGACTACCCAGACACTAATTCACCGATATTTTCCCGTATGCAGTGACCTAAACTACGAGACCTCTCGTTATAACTTTGGCCAACGCACAGCGCAAGTGCGATGAGAAAACCGTGATGAAGGAATGCAAACAATCGTGCTCACGAAGGTAAATAGTAATAACAGATTCTTAAAGAACAAATTTAATACAACAAATCATTTAACAAATGTTAAGGAATAGTTTAATTAACAAATGGGAACGCATGGAAAATATAAAAAAAAACAAATGTCATGCGTCTTTCAATTCACTTATCTGTCACGTTTTCCACGTGCTCTGTTTTTATTGTTTATCAATGTCACGATCCGGTAAACGTCGGCAACAAACGCGAAAATTAATTAGCTTGCGATCAAGCACCACTGAATGAAATATTTTTTGTCGATAATACGTTATAGTACCGAACGTGACCTATTCCCGAATATGAATGTTATACCGAATGTACATTTGCATTGCTATACCACGTGTCTCGGTATTTTGTACATCCAACATTCATTTATTTATTTTTGATGTTTCTTTTATGTTTTCGGTTTGGATAATGTGTTATGTCTTATCGTTTGTAGTCCAAATAATTATAAAATTTCAATTCAATACCATCATTGTCATGAAAATTGTTTGGACTGGTATTTTGAAAATAATTGTATAAATTTCGAGATTGCATGTTTGTCACGTAAGTGCATCACTGTTTGTGATGTCCTGTGGTGTCTGTCTTTGGTGGAAGATGTTCGCTGTTGTTCTGCGGTTTGCATGTTATGTCGACTATTATATTATTTGTTTGTGCGTTTCTCTGTTATGAGTGTTCTTGTGTGTGTTTGTGCTGTATTTCTGTCACGTAGTGTTGTCATTTAAGCGATATTTTTTAACATTGTCATATAAGCGGGAGTTTGGCTAGCCATAAAACCAGGTTCAACCCAACATTTTTTCTTAAAATGTCCTGTACCAAGTCAGGAATATGGCAGTTGTTATCAAATAGTTCGTTTCTATGTATGTTGGCATTTTTTTCTATTACACTTCAGTGTTCCTATTGTTCATTTGTTTTCCTCTTATAGTTGATGTGTTTCCCTCGGTTACAGTTTGTAACCTGGATTTGTTTTCTCTCAATCGATTTATGACTTTTGAACACCGGTATACTACTGTTGCCTTTATAGATGTGTAATGAATATGAAAAACATGCATGCAAGACTTAGTTTAGTATATATGCATGCATTGGTTCGATGATTTCGATAACTTCGATAACATTAAAATTTCAAGGAACTTGTTTCATATGACTTTAAGCATAAAGTAAAATAACAAAAATACCGAACTCCCAGGAAAATTCAAAACGGAAAGTCTCTAATCAAATTACATGCTTTTGACTTTGCAAATTTCCACTCGTAAAAATGACTTCAAGCTTTTTTGGCAAGCGGGGCCATTCGTGTCGTTCCGATACATCTATTTATACCTAAATTAACATGCTTAAACAATATAATGTAATGATTGATATGTGAACTAGTATTCTTATGGTGTTTTTCTTCAAATAGGCTAACAAAACCATTTTCATCAAGCCAATAAAACATGTCACATGCAAGTATCGAATGAAAAATACTTATGGAAACGTGAATATAACAAAGTTACAACGATATTCAATAAAAGAAATGTTAGAACTATATTCAAATTATATGAATAGATAAATATTACTTTGTTCGATTCTTCTTACTTGTGTTCTTATCAACGTTAAGTAAATTGTTATGAAATACTTTACAAAGTCTCTGGTGCTCGAATCACAGCGGTTGACACGCTTATTCAATAAGTAGTTATCTAAAATAGCTGAAAAAAAACAAAAAAAAACAAAATAAGCTAAGGGTGTTGTTACTCGTATTAGAAATAAATTATTCTAAAAAGTACATAAAAGAAGTTTGTATACTATCTTTACACTTTGAAAAAAATTGAAAACAACACATTAAATAATTTATGCGTCTGAAGTGCTTTTGTGGATTTACCTTCACTGACTACTGAGCTGATGATACTGAATATGCATGTAATTAATTCATTATAAAAATATTATTGCATTACCCGCATGTATGTATGGCAAAGAGCAGAAAACAGCCTAAGGCCATAATGGTTCTTCAACGCAGAGGGAAAATTCCGCACCTGTAGGCTGGCGTCAGCTCGCCCCTAAACAATAAAGTATACAAGTTCAACAAAATGGACGCCACTAAATGAACCAAAATTTAAAAGGATAACAAGTTTATAGTTTTGAATTCTGCTTATCAGACGATACGATTTTATCGCTACTGAAATTGAAATTAACAACGAAAAGACCAACAGCAGTTTACAAAACACAACAAAGAAAACTAAAGACTGTGAAGACGAACTCCACCAAACAAGAGTTGCCACTCAAAAAATAATTTTCACTTTTGCACATTTGTTTCCTGCATTTTTGAGTTGTAAAGTATTAGTTGACATCCTGTCGTGTGCAAAGCTATTTATTTCAGTTCTTACCAGGCCAAGTTATTCATTTTTAAAATCGTCCTACCCCCCCCCCCCCCCCCCCCCCCCCCCCCCCCCCCCCACCCAACCCCCCACTCCGCCCCCAAACAAATATCAAATGATTGTCCCCTAATCCTATACTAAGTAAAAAGATAAATATCCGTCCACTCAGCTGTAATTTCAATACCATCAATGAGTCCTTTTCCTATAGTTATATTCCCTTATGCAGTATTTTTACTGGCATTTATAGCATGTGACACAACATAACAATTTAGAAACATGCAATAACAACAAGATCATTTGTGTAATTTCAAGAGTCCCCTGTCCTCAGTTCTATAGACTGTTTATAAAGGATCCAAGCTTATTTACATGAATATGTGATCTTGGGTTGAGGATATATGTAATTATATAAAAAAAAGAATGGACGATATTCTTATAGTTGCAAATGTCAGGAGTATCGAAAAGGACACTAAGCTTGAAATCAGCTGTTAGGTGATTGTTATTTTATCTTTCAATAGCTTATTTGTTGGTTAACACAGCCACCAATAATAAAACCATAATGTGGCTTTGAGGAGTGTCCATTATTTGACATGAGAATTGCGACATATTTGCACGTTTTCACATCAAATGTCATCGATGACATTCTTGGTAAATCAAGGCCATATATTTTACATCGACAAAGTACTGCCAAAATTCAGCGATCCCGAAGACATCCTTGTATCCGATGTCTGGTGTAGGATGTGTGTTTTTAATTACCAATCCTATAAAATCATACATAAAAGATTATCAAGCCTAGTTTACTAGAGAAGCACCTTACAAGTACTTGAAAATATACATGATAAATTTCGTTTCTTTTCTCAATAAACTGTGATGAGATTTGTATCGACATGCTCCTTATGCTTTCCTAAGCAAGAAATGTTTGCCACTGGACATTAAGCAATACAAATATATAACATAAAAATATGTTTTTATTGGATATAAATTAATCATTACAATTAAACATGCAAATGAGACTTTAGATACAAAAGAAAGATAACCTATGAAAATGTTATGGCGTTGCCTTTTGATCCAGTAGGCAGTGTTTCAGTCTGTTCAATCATGGTATTTTAAACAATACGTGTTAACGTCCGTTCAAAGTGGGGACGTCGGATCTGATGCCTTGTGTAGAATGAGTTCAATTACCTATGCACAGTCCATAAAACAGGCGTGGATCCAGCCATTTTCAAAGGGGCATGCAACACATGCAAGTCATATAAAACGGGGGCTCCTACCATACGTCCCCATACAAAAGCATTAGTTGTCAAAGAAAATGGACGGTTTCAACCCTCAGAACACTCTTCCCCACCC